TAACTGCGATATAACGCGGTTCATTCTCCACAGTCATGCATGTTATGAACGTGCAGAGGACAGGTCTGGCCCTCAGAGCAGCGACTTCCTTTACAAGCCGCCACCAATCGAGGTGGCATGTAAGCTGCTAAGGCGATTACTGATTGTTGGTCCTGATAGGACGAGACGGCCGTCTAGCACTTTCTGGATGTGTACTGGCTGTCTGCCTGATCCCAGCTGCGACGAGTCTTCACACAAATATTGATTTCTATCATCTGGAAAGAGGTCCCCACCATTTTTGATGAATTTTGATCCGCTTGAATACTAAATACTGTTTCGAAGCAGCGAGTAGAGCTTTCTCTGTGTAGCTGCATCATTCGTCGCTTTTGGACATATACTCCTTATTTTTCGTTACGCTCCCTATATTTTGCCTCTGCAAAATGTTTGTCTAGGAGCTTCTTAAATTCGGACACTGAGTTCGCCTCTACTATGTGCTGCGGTAGGTCGTTCCAGACATTCACCACTCTTCGTTCGAAACACAGTTGGTGAGCGACCCGCCTCAACTTCGGTACGATAAGTTTATACCGGTGATTTGACTATGCATGCCGTATGCCAATTGACTGTCTACCACGGAGTTCAGTCTTTGGCGTCGCTACACTTGGGTGGTTAAACAGGGGGATGACTTGGAAATATTATGGTGTTGCTCATCCCAACATTGGCACGCCACAATCGCGGTTTCGTCCTGGTTTGGACTCATCAGGTGGAGATAGCCTGAGCTGGGCTGGAACTCAAAGCCTAATGGCTCATGGTTGACGCCATAAGCACTATGCCACTGAGATCCGCGAGCAACGCTTGGTACAGCGGAAACGAATTCAAAGTTGGACTTGGAGAATAGGCTGTGTGCTTGGGTTGCTACAAGCAACCTCTTTTGAGACCTCGGTTCACTTGAGGTGGACCTCGGTCATTCCGATCACAAGGACCGTAGGGAAAATGGAAATGATTTGGTAGAAAAAGATGAATTAGATGATTGGACAAACCGGTGCCGTGATGAGGGCCTCTGGATAGTTCACATCCGCGTTCAGAGAACTTACCTTATATGACGTAGTTGCCTATTCAATAGTGTCCATGTGCTTGGCCTCTTGTGTTTGGCTATTTTTACTTTTCTGCGGCTAGCTCCTGCGACAGGACGAGTCGGCATCATGAATGTCGCAGATTGCAGCTGTCCAAGCGCGGCGGTCGGCGACAAGCTCCATGCCGATACTGATCCAATGGTTTTTCCAGTGACGAGCACAATGTACAACTTGGAGTCCAGGAAGAACGACATTCGATTTTACTGCAGCGAGCCACTTTTTTAATTGTCCACCACGGCGACGACATCAACCCTGGCAAGGCGAGGGTGAAACCACGGCCCTAGTGAAGTGTCTGGTCTGCGGAGGACGTGACCGTACCACTAAAGTCCGCGGTGTTGGGTGAGTGCTGAGAGCTTCGAAAGACCGTAACAGCGCTTACGAACTTCGTCATTAGTGATACGTTCATACCATATGATTTTCAAGATAAGCCTTAGACACCAATGGCCGAACACTTCCAGCTCCCGGGTATCTTCAGATCGCAGAAGCCATGTTTCGCAACCATAGAGTGAAATGGCACGAATGTTTGCTGAGAATACTCGGGTTTTCGTTTTCAAACTGATTTCCGTCCTTCGCCACGTGTTTCTCAGTTATAAGAAGGCTGTTTTGCGCTGTCAATACGATTCCGGTTGTAGCCTGATCCTTGGGGAGAATCGTGAATCCAAGGTACTTGAATTCAGGAACAGACTCGATGTGTTGCTCAGGTAAGGAGAGCGACGGGGCGGACTGAGTGGCTGATGTCTTGTTGATGTTAATTTCGAGGCCGATCATAGAGGCCGATTGGTCGACCCGATTTAGCAGTGACTGTATTGATACAAGATCTTCTGGAAGGATAGCGATATCGTCAGCAAATTCTAGGTCTGACAAAAGTTAGAGCTAACTTGAACACCACGATAGCCCTCAAGGACATGAGGCATAACCCAGTCGGCTGCCAGGTTGAATAGCACTGGAAAAAGTGGGCAACCCTCCCGAACTCCAGTATTGATATCGAGTTCCTTTGTTTCTTCTCCATAGACCCGAATCCGAGTCTTCGTGCAACGGTAGTATGATCACATCAAGTTAACGTGTTTAACCGGCACGCCATCGGCAAGTGGGGTTCTCCAGAGTGCTTCACGGTCAACTGAGTCAAAGGCAACTCGAAAATCAACAAAGCAAACAAGCGTGAGCTGCTGTTACTGTTAGCGGTGTTCGAGTACCCGACGTAGGGTGAAAATTTGGTCAGTGCAGCCACTGCCTAGACGAAAGCCACCTTGGTTATGGCAAGTTCGCAAGTTCCTCTCATGGGCAAAGCGGGAAAGCAGGATTCGTGCGAAGGTTTTGGCCGCCACATCGATTGGGCTAATCCCGCGATAATTACTGCACACAGTTCAGTCACCTTTCCTGGGAAATGGCAGCAATACTGAAATACTGCACGAAGGATAGTTTTCGGTCTCTCATATCGAGCGGAAGAGCTTGTGCAAATGGCCAAGGAGGGCTGGCAGACAAGACATGTAGATTTCGGCTGGAATTCCGTCCGCTCCAGGAGCTTTCTTCAGCTTCAGGCGACGAACGATATCCGCAATTTTCGTGGGAGATGGCGATGAGCAATCCGCGTCATATTCTGCTTGGGTTAATGCTGAAATAGGTGCGGTGGTGTGCAGTGGGCGGTTTAGGAGGTTGCTAAAATATTCTACCCATCTGGAAAGTCTTCCCTCCGTATCGGGGATAGTTTGGCCATCCAATTGCGCAATATCGGCTGTGGGGAATAGCGTTTGCTGGAAGTCAAACGGATTAGACGAAAAAAGACTCAAATTGCCAGAATTTGATGCAGCTTCCATGTTGTCGGGGCCAACAGACTAGTGACGGTTGCGATCACTCCGTGCTGAGCGGGTTGCTTCACGTCTCAAGCTACGGTAGTCTGGGGAATTCGTGAGACGTGCTTCTCTCGCTTTAGCGGATAGTATCTTCAGTGATCGAGTCCTCCACAGGCTTAGAGGTAGAGCCCAAGGAAGATAAAGCGGCGTGTTGAACTGACCATCTTAGCCTAGACCAACGAGCGTCGACAGATTCATCTACAAGTACAAGGCGTAGTGCACTGACAGGAATTTCTGCTTTTATTGCTGTCTCAAGGGATCGGCAGCAGTCAGTATTTTCCAGTGGGGCAGTGTTGATGGTGGAAGAATCTTCCGGCGCGTTGTCAAGTGGAGTTCGAATTTGACGCGCAGGAGTAGGTGGTCCAAACCACCTTTATTGCTCGTTTCAGCCTCTCTGTACGCACGACAGTCATCGATGGAGGACATCCACCGGGATCGGTTTAGGATGTAATCTATCTTGCTAGCTGTACGACCATCATTGGAGCACCACGTCAGAAGATGCTGGAAGCGAGTATTGGTTATGTACAACCGGTTAAGGTCAGGGAAACTGAGCAAACGGTCTCCATTATCACAGCACTTTCCAAGGGCATCTCCCGAGTATGTGACGGGTCTGAACGTTCCTCGGCCCGGTTCGTGCATTCCAATCCCAAGCAATGAAGATGTCGCGTTTTTTGAATATGATTCACCACTGTCTGTAAAGTATCGTAAAATACGTCTTTGTCCCTTTCCGCTGAAGGTAGGGTTGGTGTGTAGACAGAGATTATTGTCAGATTCATCGGGTGACCTTTGAAGCGAACAGCTGTTGTTCTAGCTGATACTGGCTTCCATGAAAGCAGAGCGTAGTGTGCCTGGCAACTGAAAGCCATGGCATCCCCATGAATGCCAGAATTATCTTCCGGCCCACTGTGGTAAATCTACTATGAGATGTCGAAAGCCAAAACCGGGTATTCGAGATTCTGACAGGTATGCTATATCAATCTTGTAGTCATTTAGTGTGCGCATGATCAACGCTTGGCTGACGACATCCAACAGGGTTCTGACATTTCAACATCCAATGAATAATGGCTCCCGGGGATTGATGGACCCAGCTAGCTTACTTGTCACTCTGGCCACTGGGTCAGCGCAGAACGCATCGCCTACCGGGAAGTCCGTAGCCTGAGAAGAATCGCGGGTAACGGACATGTCATGAAGTTTCGTGGGGATTATGTGTACCTATGATGACCCCAACCTTATCCGGCTTTTGTTCGAGGGTTCACTAGCATTTACACAGCCAAGTGCAAAGCAGCAGGGATCTGGGGAATTGTCTTAAGTTCTGGTCGTTGGATGATGGGTCGATCTCTTCCGTCCAGTTCTTAGGACTGACGTTGCACGTGGGTACGAAATCACCGAGGATAGTGTTCCCGGATACCCTCACCTGGTTTAGCCCGTCTGCTTGACGGTTGACCGGGGTGTGACCGCTGCCGCGTGCAAGCAGCTTCTTGGAGCCACAGTCGAGAGCTGGAGACTATAGACAGGCGGACTACCCCGGAGAGTAAGATATGTCCTCTACCAGAGGCGCTTCTCCTCCCTGGCTATTAACATCCCAACCCCATCAGTTTCATCTAGTTTTTTCTTGATCCGCCTCGTTGCACTCTATTTTCCTCAACATTGTCATTCCTTGTTATCTTGGAGGCGCAAATTAAGGAGACTAAATGCATGGTACTCCGAATCATAGCTGTTTAACTAAACTGGACTCATATATCGCCGAACTCTCGGACCAATCCCTTTATGAAGTCTGTCCACTGTCAAATGTGCTGCTAAAACATCTGGTCAGACTTAAAACGAATATCTTCAGCACAAGTCCACCAAAACTGTTCTGAAAAGTTGTCTAATGAGAATCAATGCATCGAGCATCACTGAAATCGCGATTTACCCTTGTTGCGAGGTTCTACTACTGGTATACCGGTCTCGAGTACATTCAAGAAGATTGCATATACCGGTCTAAATAAATCCCCGCCAATTTTTAGCAGACAACAAATTCCGTCATCCATTTTTGCTTTCAGGTAATGGTATACATTCCTTACCTCAACGAAGCTTTGAACGCGGCTGTTGAACCTATCAGATATCTTCTATCTTCTACCAAACCGCTTCCCAAACAACCGAACATCCCTCCGCCTGAGCTGTCGTCCTGTGGAATGCTTGTGCGTTTGGCTGGCTTATCGGGTGCCCTCGCTGTACTTGCCGGTGCATATGGCAGTCATGGTGAGTTGTGCTTTTCATTTGACGCACGGCCCCAGGCTTTGGTCAAAATCGCGAGAAGGAAAAACGAATCTTTCAAACCGGTGCTTATTATCATTTAATCCATTCAGTGGCTCTACTAGGAGCTTCAAGAGCAACCTATCCCCACGCAGTAAACGGTTTTCATCTTGTTTTCACGTTCGTTTAATTTAGACTGCGAGCCTATTCCTCCTTGGAATGACGATGTTTTGTGGGTCTTGCTATTACGTAGCGATTACGAACGACGAGCGCTTTGCAAAAGTGGCACCCATTGGTGGGATCACGTTAGTTATCGCTTGGTTGTCCCTCATGGTGTAGTACGCCATGACGTTCCTGTCCAGTGACGCGACTGCTGATTTCTATTTTAATGCCACTACAAATACATCACTTTTGCTACGGACTATGTTCTCCAGTCTATTGAAGTGAAAGCATCGTGTCAGGTCGCTGGGTGACCGGCTTCAGCTCAGCCCCGTATTATTTGAGGCTTGATGGAATTCGTCAACAATGTTACCTTGTTTTCTTTCTAAGAGTGTGATGAACACTGCGAGGACTACCTAGATAGCAGTTAATAAGCATAAGAGGGGCTAAACTATGTGCAATCAGGTCGGTATTATCATTTTGAAGACGGTGCTGTGCACGACCACATGTGAAAGTGCGTACCTTGTTCTCAGAAACGTTCGAGGTACCCAGCAAGGGTCGGCACGTCCTCTTCTCTTATTGATTACACACTCATACAGGCTCTAAGTGAGCAGTGGTACTCGACTGGACGTTTGTGATAATAGGAATTGGATGCGATCCTTTATGGTGGCCGTTACCGACGATTCTGAGACTGTGAGTCCATGATAAACGTACTCAAGCGTTTGGTCCGCAACCTCTGCGCCACAGGCTCGAGTCCCCGTTTTTACATTGGTGTGGGCGCCATTGCAGCATGCTAACCCATGTGTAGTCGCTTGCATGCCAGACATAAATTGACCCAAGATATCGAAACCTAAGGACTACTGATGCAATGTTTAGGATAGCACCATATGCGACGCATAATCGGACCCATCAGTTGAACGGCATCTGGTCAGTAGTAAGCTTGGAGCGAACGAGCGGCACGTCCTCAGCGAGAGGCGAACTAAAGCCTTTCAAGTAGTGTGCAGTGGTGGAGATCACTTGACTCAGCTCTAGTTCACACACTTGACACTGATCAAGCGGTTCTTCTATACTAGCGGGTCAGGGTCGGGATACTTAAGATTAGTGCAGAAGCAGGTACAGAACTCTTATAGTTACTGCGATCATCCGAAGGTGAATCGGTGTCGTCGTCTTCGTGCTCTTTTCGCAGTAAGATGAATGACTGTGGAATTGAAATATTGCGATATGGGGTGCCACATGCGGTTTGTAAGGAGTGAGTAAGTCAAACGGAATTAGGTGGTTTCATCAATAGAAGTAACAATCTGATATGTACGCTTGTTTTTATAGGCTCAGGGCCAATAGAGTTAGACGCAATTGTAAAATAATGGTAAAAGTAAGTGTCCTATAAACGTATGATATGTAGATTCACATTGAGCAGTCACAAAGAAGATAGTCGCAAAAATACGAAGTGACAAAAGTAATTGCATAGTTGTGCGCTAGGAAAAAGGAGATGATTCGTGCGAGATCAATCAAATGAATGAAGAGTAACCGGTCTTCCAGCTATTTCTCCTATGGTTTGCCAAAGGCACGAAGTGGGTCGCATGCGGCATGGCACTTGATCGAGGAAGCGTAATGCGTAATGTGTGCAGGACAGAGGTCAGGATGGTCGACATCGAGAATGATATCATTTGCAGGTTTCGAGAATGCAGATAAGCAGAACAATGAGTTGCTGTGAGATTGCGGTTGAGTTCGGCGTCCGGAGTTACACCGGCTCTTCCAATGACATCAGAAGAGGATTAACATATTCGAATCCCTCGAACTCGGTTTGATCAATTTTGGCGATTACGTCCCTATTATTGGACAAATCAGAGAACATGAATCAAAACAATATGCTCGGTGTGAACGGAGGACTCGCAATAATGATTAGAAAGTTAACTTATGGGAAGCATTCTACTCAAAAGTCCAACCGTCGTGTTCGATTTAAAGAACGCAAGAGCTTATGCAACAGCATAAAAGTGCCCCCAAAGTGGAAATCAAGCAGCAGTTTGCAAAATGGTATAAAAAACTTGATTAGTATTGTTGCGTTTGAATCAGCAATTATCGGTGGATATTTTTGGGAGGACGAGTGGCTCAATCGATAGCTGGAGTTTGGATTCAAGTAAGTCCCGAGAACAAACCATGAACAAGTAATATAGTGCAGACGCGATGACTGGACCTTAACTTGATGCGACGGTTTGTGTACCTCCTTGACCCATTGAGCTATGCTGGGTGGTGCCTCCGGGCCCCTTGAGAGTCAGTTATTACTATCAGATTAGTCAGTGGTTAGAGGTCAGACAAACTCAGTCTCTTGGTTCTTCAGTTGGGGGTTTGAAATGGGATGGCGTCCATTTCTGTAAACCTAAATCATTGACACCTCGCTGCCTTGCGGACAAGTTTTTGGGCCAAAGGCTGTGGTTCATGACCCTAATCGTCCTGCCTAGGTCTGGGTGGCCTGGCAGTATCTCAGCCCACATACAACCATGACAAATTCCCCAAACTCTAACTATATCCTGCATCGGCCGTCGTGCAGATTATCAAGGGTCGCCTTATCTGCTGCACACAGCAGGCGCATCCTTTCTTATCCACCTGTTTCTCTTAATACTCATCCCGACCCCCAATACTAACCTTCCTTCTATAATTCCCACCTTAACTGACAGCAACCGAAGTGCCATTGGAGTAAAACCATCTGCAGCCACATTCCCACAACATCCATCGGATGCCGATCGGCAACAGTCTCCTATAAGGACACGCTGTCCCGTTTCCATGGTGGCGTTCAACGTTCGCACTCAGACAAATTGGTCAACTCGTACACTGGGTATTGATGTGTGTCCGAAAAAAAGATCAATGACCCCAATGGGCTTGTTGAATCAACTGCGCCGCGTTTGTCCTCCTCGGCTGCACTCATCCAGAGACGCTAATGCAGCACTCACTGACCAAGCTGGTGTAGGTATCATTCTAAGCTCCAAGACTGAACCATCGTTGGTTGGTTGGGTTCCGGTGAACAGCCGTTTGTGTGCAGCCCATTTGACGACATCAGCTAAGGTCGATTCGCGAAGTAGTACTAAACGATGTTTGTGATTTCCGCGTATGCTCTCACCGACTGCAGTTCTAATGCTGCTAAGGACACATTCTATCACGAAATGAATGTGCCACTGCGCAGTGCTACTAGTTCAGATATTATAGTACTTGCAAGGATGGGAACGCACAAATAGGGTGTACGAGCTCTTCAGAAACTCATCTGGATGGTAAGTGTAGGCTTAGCTCCGAACGGACTGACAACGGCGAGCGTCTGTTGCAACTGTGTGCGGAGCACCAGTTGTTTCTTAGTAGCACTGTTTTTAGACACAGTGGACGACACAGATGTAGGGTGTCGTAAAGCTCGGGGTGGACAAAGTTGAGTTGGCAGCGTGAAATGAAGTCACTGACGGCCAAACTGGGTGCTATCGGTCCGTCGCGCCTACCAAACTGGAGTCCAAGTGATTCACCATGGTTGTATGGCAGCGAAGCATCCGTTCAAATGACTGAGGTACTGCTGTTAATAATGATGAAGTATTGGGGTTGGTTCGTAAGCAATTCCCTCAGCTAAGCATGAGCCAGATGCACTATGAACATCTGCTGCGGTGGTTTGCGTGATTGCTGTATCGTGTTTTGTAATTGCTGATGAAAAGCGGTCAGCAAATGGTACTCGGACAAATGCACAATCGATCATTATCAAAGAGTGTAGTTGTCCCTTGTGCGAAAGACCGATCCGTTTGCGTCAGTTGTGCGCAGATTGGTTATCAGTTACACCAACCAGGCAATCATCTCGCATACGCCCTGGAGTCTCACAACGCGTTTCTGCAAGTCTTATATCTTCTTCAATTGATTGATAAACATGGTGCTGCCCAGGCATGTACTGCTTGCTGGGACTACGGGTCTCGGAAGCGTGCGTTATTTGCTTATTAGTGCTACGTTTTTAGTAGTGTAGGATCATATGGCATGAGAAATTAAAGCAGTACCACGTTTGACATGCCTCACGGCAGATCCTCGAGCCACAGATTTTAAATAGGATTCCCAATAGTTCAGTGTTTGGACATTAATACAGCTGTACGCCAATAATGGCCTTTGAAACTCAAGCGACAGCATACTGCATTGGTCACTGCCCAAGTCTAAAACGATGGTCTTTCACTGTATGCAATAGGGTGGATAAAAGCAGACGAGTTGCTCTCGGGATGTCAATTTTTAGTCGGTAAGTACTTTCTTAGGTACTTCACGAGATATGTTAGAAACGTTTTCTTGGTGGGATTGGACAATGAAGACTTTCTGCTTCTGTGTGCGGTCA